TATAGGACTATGTTTTTTTTACTAGGAATATATAAGGTTATGTTAGGCTACTCATACATATGACTATTTCCTTAAGGTACTTAACGTTGTCGAACACTTAATATCCTTACCCCACCATATAGTAACTTTTTTATCTAGGGGTATTTTAGATAATTAATCAGGAGTCACGTAGCAATTCTTGATAGCAAGATAAGAATTTATTGACTATAGTGGAGGATGGCATCATCTACATGAGGTGTGACCTCACCCACAAAAAGCAATGATTGCTTATTAACCACTAGTAAAATGCAAGTAATTTTTTATAGAAATATCTATCATACCCCTCCTAATGACGAAAAAATCCCTTACTCAAAGAATTTCATTTTATAAAACAATGAGCAATCAGTATTTTCTTAATGCTGAGTACATTAAGAAAATACTCATATGCATGAGTACCCTAACATGACCCACACACACACACACATATACTTATATATATACTTACTTCCTTGAGCCGAGTTACAAGGATGTGCCTCATAATCTGTGAGAGCTCTACAGTCATCAAGGAAAACCCACTAGCAACACCATTGCTCTCACCTTTTCTTGTTTTACTCTCTAGATTTACTCTCTATTTCGAGTTTAGCACGAGTATTAGTCGATCTTTTGGAGCTGATGGTTCTTCCCCTAAAACTAGTGAGTTCATTCCTTTTTCTTGTTCTATTTATTGCCTTTCCAAGTATTCCTACTTTAAGTGGGGAAAGAATTGCAAGAGAAATAAGTAGATTGTAGATTGGAAACCCATGATTTGTTGTGAAATATTGGATAGCATTTCTAGACTCATTGCAAAGCTTATTTGGTATGATTTGTATAGGAATTTAGTTTTATAAATTCTCATTGCGCTTGCTGAACTTTTTATTTTAGGCTCATTAAATTTCTTGAATAGACTTACATGTGTATGTCGCACGTGGGTTTGATTTCTTGAACATTAGAATAATTGAAATGTTGAATGTCAAGAAAATTTCGAGTAGATTATTGTGCTTGAATTTGGGTATGAATTGAAATCTTGAATGTCAAGAAAATTTCAAGTAGAGTATTGTGTGATTGAATTTGGGTATATGTCAATTCATATTAAGATTCTTTAATGGAAATTTAAGATTCTTTAACGGATATTTAAGATTCTTTAATGGAAATTTACATGCTGTATGTTTGACGAAATCCTAGTTTAGCTACAACTTTTGTTTGCATTAGCTAAACTAGAATTCAGAAAACCTAAAGATTCGCTGTTTTAGGCATATGCTTGATATCAAAGCTTAGGGGTTTTCAATCTGGATTAGAAATGGCCACTCACAAAGCTATATTGGTGGATTTGGTGAAAATCACTATCGTTGATGGTTACAACTTTTCAATTTGAAGAGTAAACTTGTCTTGTCGCATGTTACTCAAGATGAGACCCAAGGTTAAAAGGTTTTCCCATGTATTTTTCAGTAACTTACAATTTTTTTGACAAGCTTTTTAATCAGGCATCCAAACTGACCTAGTGGTCAGCATAAGCAACATAATAGGGCAAGCACAAAAATTCAAAGACTTGGATAGTTTCAAAGGAAGATGAGGCACATGCAATTCAAGGACTTAAGAAAGTGAGATGGTCTCCAATAATACTTCGAGGGCACCCGTGCCCTAGCAAACGGTCTACAAAGACAACAGGAAAATTTAGAATCTGAAGGCAAGGAGGTGGGCTGCAATATTTCAAGGGCAACTCTGATTCGAAAATATTATAGTTCCATAAACAGAAAATGAGCATAATGAGGCAGTAAAGCGATAAAGAGAGAGGGAAAACAGTGAGAGTGAAAGGTTATCTTATGCCATAATTCAAGGGCAATTGTGGCCCACATAATGATATAGACTCACAAAAATTATAAAATCAGCATTTACATGCATGTAAAAAGAGAGAAAGGAATGTACCTCAGCAGCCTTCTGGCGCAAGCGCTCTGCTCTCCAAATAGGATCCCACCATCGCTGCTCTCCTCTACCTCCACCCCCACCTCCACCTCCTCCCCTTCTTCCTCCTCTTCCTCCGACAACCCTTCTGCCTCCTCCTCCCCTGAAATTAGTGTTCGAAGACATGCTGCACAGACAGATAGCCAACTGCCGACGAGTGGCCGTTAATACAAAACACTTCCAACCAAAGTAGTAGCAGTTACAGGCGGATATAGCTGCTGCTTCTCTTAAGCACAGAAGAAGGAGCACAACAATAGGTCCTGTTTGGACAAAAATAAATCCATCATCTATCATATATATTATCCATTTTAAGATTAGTACTCTTTGGATAAACATATACTTGTGAGTCATTTGGTTGACATCATTAAATACAAAAGCTTAATGTCATGTGCTGCTGGTTGAAGCCCTCGTAAATATAAAAAAGCTTAATCATGTGTGTTGTTTGGCTGAGGTCATCATAAATTATGTTTAAAGACGATATAAAAGAACATCCAAGAGTTAAAAAGACCACTGATAAGTAATTCAAATAAAAAAGGTGCAAAAGAAATGCTAAAGAGAGATTAAATAAATTTTAATAAACTGAAAAAAAAAATATGGTACTCTAATGAATCCTAGAGAAAAGAGTTCTATTCAAATGGTAAATTCTAGATCACCACCAAACAACGAGAGGTGCCATAACCTGCTTTGGAAAAAAGAAATTCTTAAGTAACCAGTGATGTTATGGTATTCCTCAAGTAACAAAGACATAAAACTCATCAAAATACAGCAAGGCAGCCTAACTTGGCCAGATCAGCAATGCCAAAAGTGAATTTTATCAAAACAAAGTAGTCTCCTTACACTTTTTCACAGAATTTATTATTGCTTCTCAATGATAGTCCAATTGGGGTTTACAATTATGATAAATTTCAAAGGGAAAGTATATATTAACAACATACAAATGCACTGCACGAGCACCATCAAGGATTTGCCTATTTTTCACAAAGCTGCTCTGATTAGGCAAAATGACATCATCCAGAACCTCTTATAAGAGGAGGTTAGTAGGTTAATAGGGCAGAAATCTTTAATCTCTTTGGCTCCATCAGTCTTCAATAGTAAGGCAATGAAACTATTATTCAGAGTTCATTCCACACTCTACAATACTGTGTACAACCCTCTGTCGAAGAATTTGTTAAAGACAATAAGAACATATGGTGTCAAAGTGTCCCACAATTTAGTAAAATCGGTGCCTGGAATGCCATCTGATCCGAGGGCTTTGTCCTGGCCGAGATCAGAACTGGTGCAAAGTATTCTTCCTCAGAGGAAGGCTTGGTAACAAGGGATTGATGGGAAGGAAAGGTCTGCCAGGCAAAGGGAATGGATCATGTGTGACATAAATAGTTTCTAGAAACAAGAGACAATCGTGGAGTAAATTTCATGGGGCTCTTTGAATGTTCGGTTAACCAGCCTGTTGGGGGTGATGGCATTAGCCCATGGAGGCAAATTGTGATTTGTGGAAGAAGGCTGTGCTCCTATTGCCCACCTTTAGCCATTTAATCCTCGAATATTGATGCCAATAGATTTTCTCTTGTTTCAGGCTGGTAGAATTCAATGTGGTCTCAAGGAGGTCTAGATCACTAATTCCCTCCAGCAGCAACTCCCTTGAGGAGTTAAACTTCCCTGGAAGGATGTGGCTCCATTCTTTCAAGATCAACTTGAGCAGCTGAAGTTTTTTCTGAATCTGTAATGTGCCCAGCCAGGGACCAAAGAGGCAGACAACCACAGGCTAAAGATGTTTTCAATATTAGGTTCCTTGAACAAAGATAGTTCGAATTGGAAATATTATGGCCTGGGTTGAGTGGGGGTGTCTAGCAATATGGGTTCAGGATCAGCGTCGACAATCCTCTAATGTTCTAGATGAGAATTTCCATTTTGGGTTTGTAGAGGTGTAGGCCAGGTGTCTTAGGGATCACCTTGGGGGATGTTTACCAGAAGAAGAAGAGGGTAAGTGGGGAGTTGGGGGAGGGGGGAGGGGCTCAAGGGAGTCCTTTGTCATAATTGCGATATTTGAGAAGAGGCTTAGAAGTTCTCTCTTGCCTTTGATTTTTACCTAGGAAGTGGCTCCGGCCGTCTCACTCATGTTCGTTGTAGGCCCATGATAGAGGAAGCCCATGGCATAAAGGACTTTGCAAATGTGCATCAATGAATTCCATTCTTGCCTCGTCAAACGAAAAGTTGGACTCTCCGCCAGAATACTGAGCTCTTCCTCCTCCTAGTCATTCCCCTTCTTTTAGACAAGGGATTTGAAGGTAAGGGGGAGGGGGATTCTCTGCAAGGAGGCAGGCTAGGAAATGTTGAAGAAAGGAGAGGGAAGAATGAAGGTGATGGAGAACAACGAGTCCATAATAGGTGGATAGGTGATTTCAGAAAAGGAGAAAAAAAGGCCCTAGGATGATGATACGTGGAATTTGAATGATGGAGAAGAGAGGAGAGGGAAGAGGGCAAAAGTGGTGAGAGGAAGGGGGAGGTATCCATTGGGTTCAAATTTTCTGGGGCTGTACAACAGTGGGGTTTGAGGAAGGCAAGTCAGCAGGCCTGTTTGGGATGCTATGAATAGAAGATGTTGTTTGATGGGGAAGAAAAGCAGACAAAGATAGGAGGAAAGAAGGTGGGAGGGGATGGTGGCATTCGAAGCATTAAATGCGGGTCTAAGCACTAATCTGGTGCTAGCGAGGTAGCTGATATGGCGGGGATCCTGTCATCACAGTTCACTGAGGTGCTAGATACACTTGAGTTGCCAGAATACACGGCAGATGAGACAAACAAGAAAGAGGAGGTTGATGCCACATAGGGTAGTACATAGGAGGCCCCATTTAAGGCCCTGGATTTTTCAACATAGGTGCTTGGGGAGGAAGTGTCGCATTTGGTGGCATGTTAGTAGCCGTAATTAATGTGGATCATTGGGGGGAGCCTGGGATTGGATTGTGTGAGACATGTGGACGAGCTGATATGACTGGGGATGAACCGGGTCCATGTGTCATGGGGCAAGTGTGAGAATTGGCAGGAGGTGGGCAGGTAATGATGGGTGAAGGACGGTGGATTGGGGGTGGGGGTTTGGGTAGACCTCTTGAGAGGGACTTTAAATTCAAATTTCGGTTCAAATTTGAAATTGGAATTGGCAGTAGGAGGTTGCAGTTGAGTAGGGGTTGTGGGAAGGGTGACAAGGGCGCGATGGATGGCAGAAATGAGGTAGGAAGTTGGATTTAAATGGTGATGGACGGCTGAGAGGAGGATGGAATTGAATGCGGGTTGTGATGAATGATCGGGGGTTGGGGTTGAAGAGGCTGGGAAAATGTTGCAATGGATGATGGCATAAGTTTTCGCAGCTAAGAGTCTGGCAGGTTTTGTCAAGTCAGAGTTGTCCCTATGACATGGCCACATGAAAGGAACTATAGGACCTCGCATGTGCCATGTCCGATGTATAGTTATCTGCTCTGGAGTGTAAGCCTCTTGTCGCCACAGTGGCACTTAGATTTGTGGACCACAGCAATCCATCCCTCGTGTACCCATGGTCCCTGGATTACAGTTCACCGTGCGTTTATTGTCTGCCACACTGGTGGCAGAGGGGATTCAGGTAACTCCGCCATAAATGTGTATGACAAAGTTGTAGTGTTAATCTCAAATCTAAAGGAGGATGAACTTGGATATGGTATTGGGAAGGGTGGATTGAACTAAAATGTTGATTAAGCCCAATGGAAGGAGTCAGAAAGACTTTGATCTCCTCTTATGAAACCTCAACATTGATCGCCAATGGCCTTGACTCTTTCTGGGTGCCATGCGTGTATTGCGATTCCAAGTGCTTCGATCCATCCTCTTTTGTCTGACAGCAGTGAAGTTTGGGATCCATGGTAAGAATTGAAGCCTCCTCCTTTGAATCTTAGATTTTGCAAGAGACGGCTTCTGCTACAAGCTCACTTTAGGGTAAAGAAAATAGTTAAACCACCATCTAATAAGGCTCTACACTTTATCAAGGGAAGCCCTCAGGTGGAAACAGCCCAATTTGTACACCCCTTAACATCGTGTCTAAGGGGTTTAAAGGTGGCCACCAAGGAGTTTTCCAGAAAGGTCAATCTCTTCTCAATGAAAGGGCTTCACGTTGTTGAAGATTGATGATTCGATATTCCTTGTCAATACTGTTTCTCCTTACAGAAGCATAACCACAAATCCTTTCCTCCAAACGCAATTCTAGGGAAATCAGATCAAATGCTAAACATCTGAAAGTGTATTTATATTCAAGTAAGATACATTTTTCTCCTTACTAAAAACCATATCACTGATAACCTATGAAATGATTCAACAGAGACTGATGGTTTTCTGCTGAAGATGATTAAAATTGATGCAGTAGGAATTCCCTGATTGAGGGTGATTAATACTGTGACAGAATGTTGAGCTACTATGTAATAATGAAGGAGAAGCATGTATTCTAGATCTCAGCACACATGACTAGCGGAGCAATAACTCGATGCCAAGGAATAGATATGTGAGTAGCCTTTCAAGGCTTCACATAATACTAGCATAGATGTGAATAGTTTCTTTTTTATATGCTATGTGTAGAATAAAAGCAACAAAGAATAGCATAATAATACATCAAAAAAGGTAGTGTTTTCAAGAAATGGCACACCCGGCGCTCAAGTGCCCAAAGGCCCCATTGCCACATGCCAGTGATTTAAAATGCAGACAGCATAGAGCCTAGGCGATCCAGAAGGCCTGGGCGTGGGCGATAGGCGGCCAAATTATGCCGCATATCCCTGGGCACCTGCCTAGGCGAGCGTCCAACACCAAGCCCTGGGCGGCCACGCAGGGGCAGAAATGTCCCTCGTTGAGGGCATTTTTTTGTCGTTATTTTAATACTAAAGCAGAAAACTTGTGGGTTTTAGGTTCATTTGAAACCTAAAACCCATTATAGCCTATTTTAAAGAGAGAAAAACCCAAAAAACTAGTTTTTGATGATTTTCATAGGATCAAAGGATTTCTCAAAGTTGCAAAAAATTGATCTAAGCATCACCCATTGATATGAGATTTAGTTGGATGTTTTATAAATATATTAGAGGGATATACAGTTATACTTGCACTGTTAGACTAAAGAGACATTTTTCTTTCTACTAGACCGCCCAGGTTTTGGGTGCCCGTCTAAGAGCTAAGCAGCCTGCACCCCCCCCCCCCCCTCGAACGCCTAGGAGCCACCTAGCACTTTTTGAAACACTTCGACATGCCTAGGGCTGGG